GTTAAACAAAGAGTATTAAACATGTTTTAAAGCCAAAAGTAATTGCAATAAATATTTTCAGAGTAATTTTATTACCAAAAATTTTTTAAGGCATTAGATTATAGTCATTCTAGCATGTTAAGAATATTTTTAGCCATTGAAATTACAGAGGAAATCAATAAATATAATTTTATCAGTCTCTAGTTCCATAGATGGTTTTGTAGTCAGTTTTACAAGAGTAATCTGTCATCACTACTGAATATTTTCAATGTTTATAAAATAAAATGAGATAGAATTATGCTGTATGAATATCCCAAATTGATTGTGGCTGTTATTTTGCACACTTTTTATGTGAATCAAGGGACACAACATACAAAATAAACACATATTTAATAAGTGAGAATAGGAAAATATCACTAATCATAAAACATTTTTAAAATCCAAATTATAAACTATGGACTGATGCAGTGTCCACTAAAACACATACATAGAAAAGCCACTATTATGAACAGAATGTATTACATATGAATGTAAGGTAAGCCTATTGTTAAAAAATAGTCCCTCAGTCTAACAAATAAATATACTCTAGATTTAGCTTGTTGCTTTACAAAAAGAGTTAAATATATCTGAATGTACATAAGTAATGGGTTTTTAAATTCAATGTCTGTACACTTTATTTTGACAGTCTATAATGCACGCTATTTAAAATATAAATTAAAACTAAATTAACTTCTAAATTTCATATATTTTCCAATTAAATAAGATTGCTAGTTTATTATATACATTAAACAAGATTTGCTAGTTTATTATATATAACTGATTGAAAATATGTTTGAATTTATAATGTGTGTTTTAAAATGGAATAAGAAATTATATGAGTAACTATGCTGAAAGTATATAAATATATTTTTTTCCTATTTTGCTGATACATAATTTTGTTGTTGTTGTTGCTGTTGTTTTGCTGATACATAATTTTAACTCTATAGTATTTTGTGGGTTTAAAGGCTCCCCAATCTACCATCAACCATCACAGCTTCTAAAACTGCCCCAAGAATCCTCCTAGGGCTGAATCAAACAATTCTTGAACTATAAGGGTATAACTTTTATCTGTCTTTCCAAGAGACCTTAGTAGTCTCTGGATTCAGTCACAAAAATTATACATTATTTTGTAACATATTTATAGATAAGATAAATCTTTTATTGCTTCCCCTTTTCCAGTAAGCTGCTATATCAGCTGTACAGTTTAAAGCGTATGACTTCTATCTCCTACCTTCTCAGATAGTTTTGTTTGTACATCTGTGACTTTTCCTTGACTGATCTGTTTCATCAGCTGTGTAACATGCTCTAGCCTTTTTCATCATAAAAGTCCTTCTAACACTGACATTTTCCCCACTCTGCTCACCTTCACGCAAAACTTCTTGAAACCCTTAAATTAACATGGAGTCTTAACCTGCTAACTTTCCATATGATCGTCAGCTCATTTCCACCTAATTTCTCTCCCCCAAATTTCAACACAGCTGTAAACAGACTTCACATTTCTTTCAACTGTGTTTCATTAACCTCTCAGCAGCTTCTGGAGGGAAAAATGTGATTGGCAACTTTTCTTCTGGAAATATGACTGCCCCTTAACTTCCAATATATTACAGCCTTGTGTTTTTCCAGGAACTCTATGACATCTTAGTTTCATTGGGGGTGGGGTGGGGCTGCTTTCCTCTTCATGTATATTACAGTTCCCTGGGATGCAGCTCTTAACACTCTATTAGTCTTCAATAACTCAACACGCACCCCATGAATACCAATGCTGTACCAGACACCCTTCTAGGTACTGGGAAGCACTTATGAGTATCAAAGACATCAGTTATTTTTCACAGAGCATAGCTATTACTCACTGTGTCATTTTATCCCCACACAGGACTAAATACCAGTCACAATTAAGGCTGACAACATCACAATGTTGTTTCCAAGTCATGGCTGTCTTCTCATCTCCATACACACATACCTAACACCTATTTGACATTTTAAAGTTAATGAATAATGAACTGATCTTATGTTTGATTTTTATTCTAAAAATCCTGCTCTGTTTATAAGATTCTTTACCTGCAGAAATGATACCAACAGTGTTAGAGTTGTCCAAGCAAGAAACTCATAAGTCATTAATATCTGTTGAATCCACTCTGCTAAACATTAGGCAGGTTAGTCTACACCTACAGTGTGCCTGGAATTTATTCAATGTTTTCTTTTCTTTTCTTTTTTTTTTTACTGTAACCACATTTTTTTTTTTTAAAGCATTCATGTTCATCCAACTCTTGCTTCTACCAAGATGAACAAGATTAATCTGTGTAAAATGTCCATATGCTCATATAAACTCCATGCTTCAAATGATTTTTTATGACTTTGAGGATCTGTTTTAAAATTATTTATATGGTTTTTAGAAGATTTTGGATTATATAGGTCACAGGTCCCTCTGAATCCTTATTTTTGTTCACACACCTCCAGGTTTTTTTCCAGCCATGCTTTTGCTAGGTCTTAAAGAAAATAAAATTCTTTTTTTTTTTTTCCTCAAAATCTTTTTTTATTTCCCTTGAAGGCTCACTCCCTACAAGTTTCTTTCAGAAAGTCACTTTCCAAGGGAATCCTTTCTTAACCCCCATCTAACTCAATAAACTAGCTACACTTGCCAAAGACTTTGCTGGCAGCATGTTGCACCAGCATATCTTAGTTGTAATTACTTGGTGGTTATTCTAACTCTTGGTGTATGTCTATCTTCCCTCTAGATTGTACAGTCTTTGAGTACAGGAGCCAGTTTTGTGCTTTTCACAAATAACTCCTCTGTACACATCACAGTACTTTTCACTAAGCAAGACTCTAATAAATACCTGGAATGAATGAATGAATAAATCCTAACATTGCAGAACCAGAAGAAACTAGTGTAGAGATTAGGAAATATGCATCAAGAGAAGCTAAATGACATGAGCAAAGTTCAAACTATAAATTGTTTTCCTTATAGGCAGTGCTTACAAACTGACTTTCCAAATTAAAAATAAAAATTTTTATAGTAAATGCATCATAGCATACATTACTTATTTCTGTGCCTACACATATATGTTACATACACACACACACACACATACATATATATATATATATATACACACACATATATAGTCTGTCTTTATTTACTTTTTGGTTTATACTTACTATTCATTTTATTAACAACAGTGTCTTATAAAATAGCATAGCAAGAACTCTGGGAGTATAGTGTAACCTGCCTGAAATCTATTTAGTTATTTTTCTTACAGTTTGTATCTTATATATAAAGTATAACTAAAATACTGCCTTTCATTTAATAAAATTTTCATTTTAATCTTGATGAAAGTAATTATTCTCTCCAAGTATATGAGTTAAATTAAAAATGTATGGGGATGAATTTCACCCTAGCAATCTGCCTTTGAAGATTCTGACTCAGATTAAGAACCATATTTATATCATGGTCTGATATCTTCATAGAGGATAATTACTACAAATGTTATTCCTTTTAACTGCAGAAGCAGTTATTGATGTTTAGAACTCACAGAAACAACAAACTTGATAGTTCATTCAACCATTCTTCTTATTTAGGTGTATCATCTTAAAGGAAATGGAATTTGTCATATGATTTAAAGGAGCTCTAATCTTGAACAAATACTTTAACTTCTCAAAATTGTATCTGTAAAATGAGGATAGCTCTTCCTTGCTCAACTCAGATTCAGGAATAAAATGAGGTCATAAATGCAGAAGTACTTTGTAAATTATAAAAAGTGCCACTACAACATAAGATACTCAGTTATCCATATTATTTCTAGATACTTCCAACTTCCTAATTTCAAGTTATAATTGGAAATATTAATTATGTAATACAAAGCTATGATATAAATTAATTTTAAACTAAGCAATAATAGTTACTTTTTAATAAAAAGATTATTGTATAAATCTGCTTTCAATTGAAAAATGATGTATGATATAACAAAGCCATACCAGTGAAACTAATATTAATTTGAAATTACAAGAGGATTAAATAACATGACTGAACTGACACATTTTATGTTTCCCAGTCTCAAAAATACTATGCAATAATACTGATACTTGATTATAATATAACTTAAATAAGTCATATTTATGAATATACAGTTCTGATGTCTCATTGATATATAAAAGTATATGTGTATATATACATGTATGTATAGAATTTACCATTAAATATTAAATATAATATGTGAAGGAACAATTAATATTAAAATATGACCAACATGACAACTCACTGACAGAGTTGACTAACTGAGTCAGGACAAATTCTTGCATATTCACCTCTATAGCATGTATCTGAAAAAAAGTTTTGATATACCTTCTACAGATTTTGATAATATCACTAGCATAAAATGATGTAAGTGCTAATAACTATTAAAAGTAGTCACCAGTGTGCTGTGACTACCAATGATGAGTGGCCTGAAACATTTTGAGCTTCTTTGAAACTCTATTCACTGTTCTTTCTAAGGGGTATCTGTGGTTGTTTCTGCCTCATCGTGTGAAAGAGTTTATCTTTCCAAACACAATTTGCTTGGTCAGGCATAAATGGGCTCATCATTATCTTTGCCCACATCTCATAAGTGGAGGACTGGGCCCCATGTGTTTGGCAGAGAAGTTTTCGCCTTTGTAAAAGCTTTTTCTGGGCTCAAAGAATATTTTTCATGTTGATTTTCAACAATTTCTTTTACTCTCCAACCTCCCCTTCTGCTCATTCTCTCTCTACCACTTCAACCACTAAAGTCTAAAATTTTCAAAGTGCATTTACAAATGAACCAATCTTTCTGGCAACAGAAATTGAGAAATAAAGATTAAGACATGTAAATAACCATGACTAAAGCCTAGAATGTACATCTCCTGCTATAAAATTATGTTTTCAATATCAAGAAAAATATACAGAAGTGTTATAAAAGATACTATCATATTTCTTTTTAGCCTACAAAGGCACATGGTTTGCTTACCTTTAATAATGTTTGGCTTAGGCGGCATGCTGAATTCATAGACTGTTGGTTCTGAATATCCCAATCTATTGGCAGCTGTTATTTGAACTTCATATCCCATTGTCCACTGTAGATGCTCCAAAATAATGTGGTCTTTATTTCCCTGCACTTTTTTCTCTAGCCACTGGTCTTCTTTATCTTTCTGCAAAGTCATAGAAACATATTTTGTCAATACCCATGCACTAAAGTTGTGATCTTTAAAAAAATAATTTATCTTGAAATGGAGTGAGTGGGTTTATTAAAATCAAAAAAGGAAATTTCCTCTTCCACTCAGATAAATTAAACTGTATATAGATGAAGTTATTTTTAAGGTTTTTCTCCCACTAAATATTTAATGCTTTTTAAATTTGCTGAAGAGTGACGATTCATAACTAATACGTATGATTCAAATGATAATTCACCTCCATTAAGATTTTTTTTAATTTCACATACATTAATTGCTGTTTACCCACTTTGTTGATTATTAATAATTATGTAAATAGGGACTTTAAAATATTATATATAGAAAAAACTTAACATGTTCATTAAAATAATTACCAGAGACTATTGTTTGGGGCACATGGGAGGAGGTGTGTTAAAAATAAAGTTTGGATTTTTTTAAATAAATTAAAATTTTAACCATCATTTTTAATACTATGTTTTAGACTTACAACGAAACAACATACAACAAAAATTATTACCTTTAAATAGGTTATTAGAATAAAAAATAATATCCTATTGAACATTCTACACTTAAATCCTGATTCTTTTTCTAAAATAAATGTTTTGGACACATGATATTTGAATTACCATTTATTTGAAAAAAACTACTATGATTTCAGTCACAAATAGTTGAAATAATATATGGATTAAGCTATCTTTAACAATGCAAACATTCAGTTGTGCCATGTGTTAACAATCTGAACACAGGTTAAGTGTTGAAATGGCAATCTCTCTGCTACTGTCCCTCACCTCTATTACAGAAGCAAGGGTAGCAGCTGTCTCTGTTCACTTTCATGAGGAAGCAATGAGGAAAACTGAGTAAATTATGCATTCCTGGGCATTAAGAATCATAACCACTTAGCAAATAGTTAATTAGCATTAAAGAGGATGTATTTCTATAACGTGTATGTGTATCGCTCAGTTGTTTCCGAATCTTTGCAACTCATGGCCTGTGATCTGTCAGGCTCCTCTGTCCATGGAATTTTCCAACAAGAATACTGGAGTGGGTGGCCATTTCCTTCTCCAGGGGATCTTCTCAACCCAGGGATAGAACCCACGTCTCTTTCATCTCCTGCATTGTCAGGCAGATGCTTTACCACTAGCGACACCAGGGAAGCCTTATTTCTATAATAGCTATACAGAGCTGAAATGATATTTTCTGAAATAACATATCTAATCACATATCTAATATTCCATCACTGCAATTGAAAGTCTCAATTAACCAGAATTGTAATTATAAATATACTGTAATTCGGCCATATTGATAGATATATAGACAGATCAACAGATCCATTAATAGATCCTTTTTTAACCTCAGAGCTCAGTCTATTATTACTTAATTTTGAGCCAATATTTTACAATATATACTTGACTAGAAAAAAGAATAATGTTTTCTACACTTATGGTGACAATTGAGGATTTATTATCTAAAATCAATCATAGAAGTTAAATTCTTGATTGCATTAAATTGACAGTATCAATAATATAAACATGAAGTATCATTCAAAAAGAGATAAGTCTTCATTACAGCTTTGGTACCATACTAAGATTCTCTTTTCTTTAATATTATTTTTGGTTCTGCAGAACTTTTATTATAAAGGAAATCATTTGGTCTCTTTTATTGTTTCATCTAAAACTGGAGATATTACTCCCCTCCTCACAGTGAGGCCAGAGACTTTGGACAAGCACTTAGAATTATCATATAAGCAAGGAGTGTATATATAAATCAATTTATTAGACTAGGCTGGTGTCCAGTGTTAAACGTGTACTAGAAAAGCCACTGGAAAATAACAATTTGGACCAGAAATCTTTGCAACTCATCTAAGCCACTAAATGAGTTGTAAATTTAAGGAAGGATCCCCAGTGTGTTTTTTAAGTGTTTGGGACAACTGTTTCATTAGCCATGATTAGCCCAACATCTGCTTTCTTTATCATTCATTCATCAATTATTCAGTCTTTGGTAGGGTAGTGAAACTGTTCTAGAACTATGAACACAATAGTTAGCAAGAATGTACAACACTTATTTCTGAGTTTACAAACCAGCACAGAAGGAGGACATGAAGTCTGAAAAACAAGAAGGTGTTTTGTGAGTATATATTAACAACAGGAAGGATTAAGAGAGTCCAGGAAGGTTTTCTCTGGGGAGGTAATGTCAACTTAATAGGAAATAAGAAATTCCAGTTCCATTTTTCTTTTCATTCTTCCTCACTAAGTTAATGAAGATGTGATTCCTTCACAGAAGTTTTAAATTGCAAAAATAGGCACAATGATTGAAAACTCAGAAAGATGCAGAACCACTGGGAGATGCAAAAATAGCCACTTTATGTTTATTGTTATAGGTACTGACAAAAAAAATGCTACAAAAATCTCCACTCAAATGTAATTTTAGATCATATATGATACATGACTTATAAACACAAACATACATATACAGCACATAAAATACATATAAAATATTTGATACATTATAGACTATATGTACACACATATTCAGAGAGGACAAGGTGAGAAGTAGGAAGACTGAAGAATTAGATAAGGATAAAGGTTACACAAAGCAGTAGACAATAGCCCCGGTGGGCATCCCCTTACCCAATAATTCAGTATAAATTCTATTTAACTACGAAATATTGGTGAAAGTGAGTATTTGTGTGGAAGTTCGGAGTTGAGTTTTGTTTTGGATTTGAATGGAGATGTAGGAGAAAGAGCCAGAAAATAAGCCAGCAGCTGATATCTGGATTTCAGAAGGATGGATAGGCTTCATGCCCTTTAGGTAATCTTCCAAAAATATTTCTGAGGATTGAGTATTTGAAGTGAAACTTCCAGATCAGTCCAAGACAGGCTGATAGACTTTTAAATCACCAATCACTTAACTCTCAATTGTTGAGGCTCTTCATATGATGAATTAAAAGCCCTTCCATCATTTTAGACAGTTGGACTGATGGCCTAAAGGAACCAAAAGAGCTCTAATATTTTCCCCAATTTAAATCAATTTCATTTTCCATTCACCATTAGACAAAGAGGTTTTTTAATCCCTTAATTGCTGTTCTTAGGGAATAAAGAAAAAATAAAGTGGGTGTTACCAAATACTCCCCCAGGCATCAAAATCTCATTTATGCATTTGTAGAGTGCCTGATTTACGGAATTTAAATGCTGAGGGAACAATTTAAGATAATCTAGTTGCAAAACGTTCCCCTAGGTAATTTAATGAGATGATTTGCTGAATAGAGCTGTTATTAATAAGCCAATTAAAAGTTGAAGGGCAGCTACTAAAAAGAAATGGTCATTTACTTTGATATAGCTTCTCTTAAGCAATCCTTTTTGTCAAAACATAGGCAGCAGAGCCATATGACAGTCAAGGGGACACTTTAAAAGTTATTCTAAAATCATGATATCAGTAAATAGATATCAGTTGTAACTTCTCCCTTTTCATTTTCTAATTTTATTGACTTGAGTCTTTTCCTCACCCCCATCCCTTTTTTTTTGAAGAGTATGTCCAAGATCTATTGATTTCATTTATCCTCAAGGAACCGGCTTTTAGTTTCATTGGTCGTTGTTATTGTTTTCTTATTTCTATTTCATTTATTTCTGCCCTAATCTTTATGATTGCTTTCCTTCCACTAACTTTGGGTTTATTTGTTCTACTTTCTCTAATTACTTTAGGAGTAAGGTTAGGTTGCTTAATTGAGAGATTTCTTATTTCCTGAGGTAAGATTGTGTTGCAGTAAACTTCCCTCTTAGAACCACTTTTGCTGTGTCAAATAAATTTTGGATACTCAACTGATGGCAGAGTTTCAAACAAGAGCAAGGAGAGGTAAGAAAGCCTTCTTGGTGAATAATGCAAAGAAACAGAGGAAAACAATAGAATGGGAAAGACTTGAGTCTCTTCAATAAAATTAGAGATTACCAAGGGACTATTTCATGCGAAGATGGGAAAAATAAAGGACAGAAATGGCAAGGACCTAACAGAAGAGGAAGAGATTAAGAAGTGGTGCCAAGGATATACAGAACTATACAAAAAAGGTATTAATGACCCAGATAACCACGATGGTGTGGTCACTCACCTAGAGCCAGACATCTTGGAGTGTGAAGTCAAATGGGCCTTAGGAAGCATTACTATGAACAAAGTTAGTGGAGGTGATGGAATACCAGCTGAGCTATTTCAAATCCTAAAAGATGATGCTGATAAAGGGGTGTACTCAAAATACCAGCAAATGTGGAAATCTCAGAAGTGGCCAAAGGATTTGAAAAAGTCAGTTTTTATTCTAATTCCAAAGAAGGGCAATCAAAGAACATTCAACCTACTGCACAATTGTGCTCAATACACATGCTAATAAGGTAACGTTCAAAATCCCTCAAGCTAGGCTTCAACAATATGTGAATCAAGAACTTCCAGATGTACAAGCTGGGTTTAGAAAATGAAGAAGAACTAGAGATCAAATTTCCAGCATCCTTTGGATCACAGAAAAAGCAAGGAATTCCAGAAGAAAAACATCTGCTTCATAGACAATGCTAAAGCCTTTGACTGTGTGGATCACATAAACTATGGAAATTTTTAAAGAGATGGGAATACCAGACCACCTAACCTACCTCCCAAGAAACCTGTATGCAGGTCAAGAAGCAACAGTTAGAACTGGACATGAAACAACAGATTGGTTCCAAGTAGGAAAAGCAGTATGTCAAGGCTGTATATTGTCACCCTGCTTATTTAACTTCTATGCAGAGTGCATCATGAGAAATGTTGGGCTGGATGAAAAACAAGCTGGAATCAAGATTGTCGGGAGAAATATCAATAACCTCAGATATGCAGATGACACCACCCTTATGACAGAAAATGAAGAAGAACTAAAGAGCCTCTTGATGAAAGTGAAAGAGGAGAGTGAAAAAGTTGGCTTAAAACTCAACATTCAGAAACTAAAATTATGGCAACCGGTCCCATCACTT